GAGGCGATAACCCCAGCGTACAACAGACCCAGTCTCAGATTGCGTCTGGGGAGCTGCAGGGTGTCGCTGGTGGAAGGGGTTAGTTGAGGTGTCTGGGAGGAGAGACAGACACCTCATGTTCATATGGTGTATGTTCGATTGTTAACGGTTCCACCAATTGCTCTGGGTGTGTGGTCTATGGCCCTAGTGCCATGGCAGCCACCTGAGTTTTTAACCCTCGGCGTGCATGCGCAGCGAGGGTTACAGTAGTTAGGTTTGTCTGTGTGTCTGTCTGTTACTCTACATCTCACCTCTCGAATATCTGTTCGTCCCATAAACGATACCATCTACCCAACGGGCGACGAAGGTCAGAAAATGTGGGGTTTTCTCTGAAAATGCTCCGTTGCAGAGCTAGAGCGCTTCCAGCATTGTATGGCTAATGCCGGTAGTCGCCATTTTATCGCTGGCGAATAATGCGCATGCGCTTATATTTAGCAGAGGCTTATATACCTCGACAGGGTCCGCCTGTCTTGAAGGCACAAGAAGTCACAACGAATGGCGTGTATCGACTCTCGCGTGCTATCTACTACTGTAGCTAGCCCGTGTCAGACTCTCTGCGAGCTACTTCGCCGATGGTTTGCACTTTAGTGCTTTTGTTATTAGTGCAAGAATTAGCATCTACCAGATACACCTCTTAAAAGCACTTGTTTCGGAAAATAGCCTTAGCATACTGGAACGTCAGTAACACGTTTGTGCAACAGGATGTCTTGTTTTCAACAATTTCACAATTTCACACCGTAAAACGTGCGCAACACAATATTATTGCACATATATGTACAATAATATTGCGTGCACGCCTTCTTAACCCTCGGCGGCTGTGTAAAATGAAACTCAATAAAGTACAAACCCTTGGCAAACTGTGCATGCACTGTACCGCTAATTGATGGGCTGGGCTATTACTCGTGGTCGCCCACGAGTAGCTCGCAGAGAGTCTAACACTAGCTAGCGACAGAAATAGATAGCTAGTCGATACATACCCTTCGTTGTGATTAATTGTGCCTTCAAGATACACAGAGCGAGCGGACCCAGTCAATGCAAGCCTGTGCTAATTAGCATATTGGCTTGTTGACTTTGTTCTTATGCCACAACTTTTGTACGCAGTTTTTTTACGAAATTCGCCTTTTTGAAATGAAAACGCACCAATGTGCAAACCCTCAGCGAACTGCAAGTACGCGGTACAGCTAATTGATGGCTGGGCTATTAGTGCGCATTGACTTGTGGTTTCCACGCTAGTATATCTCGCAGAGAGTCTGACACGGGCTAGTTACAGCAGTAGATAGCATGCACGAGTCGATACACGTCCTTCGCTGTGACTTCTTGTCCGAGAAAGCGGACCCGCTCGAGGTAAGCCTGTTATAATTAGCACATTGCTTTTATCGCTCGTGTAACTCTCGAATGCAGCAGTTTCAGAGGAAACCCCACATATTTTTCGACCTTTATCCGACGCTGAATACGTGGTATCGTTTGTGGAGCGATTGATTGTTCGTGAAGTGAGATAGCTCGCAGACAGACAGAGAGACAGACAGACACACACGACAACTACAGTAACCCTTGCTGCACATGCCTGCCAAGGGTAAATGAAGCCGGTGTAGAAATGAACCGATTACTATCGCTCTCTGGCTAATAACATGCATGTGATGGCAGAAAACGTGGCAACAGACAGACAGAATGACAGACACACTAATGAACCACATACCGTTACCTGAGCGCCGAGGGTAAACAAGTTTTAAAAATTAATGTCATTATGGAAAACAAAACATACTAGACAAGGCTCTACAATGCATGCCCTGTTCCTAATCAGTTTCATTCTGTAGCCCAATGTTAGGCCTAATAGAAGGCCATACTCTAACTAGTGTTAGTGCTACAGTCTGCTAAGCGGATTATGGGAATAACACGTGACAAAACAGCTCGCAGGTCCTCTAGATATGAGGAGGAAAAGATAATTTTCTGGAATTAAGTCGTTCAAGAGATATGCCGATTTAGTGAACAAAGACAATTCTCCTGGCCTAAGAACAATGCAATGAAGTCTCCGTACCGAGGCAATAAATACATGTTACTTTTTATATGGACATTATGCCCCAAATTTTACTCCACACAAGCCCTATATTGTAGAAAAGCACGAGTGATCGCTATCGTATGATGTGCAGCTATGACTCATTTCCTATACACGTAAGACTGGTAGCAAATGCCCTCTCTGACAGGTTCTCAGTTTTGAATCGTGACTGTGTTTACTTCAATATTCGCTCAACTAACCGGTTTTACAATGCTAAAGAATTCGTTTGCCAGTCTTCACAGTACACTATTCAAAACTCATGTCATGAGTAAGAGTGGCGACAATATAGGGCTTCTGTTGAGTAAAATTTACATGAGCAAGAAATGTCAGTTTGAAGATGTAACAATCATCCCATTGTACTACTGCATCACATGCACAGGTCATCCCTGTCTTGTCTCCTTGTTTTTTATGGCATCCCTATATTCCACACTTTTTTAATTCGCAGAAATTTTTATTTACTTGCATATATATTTGTAACCATACGTCGTCCACACGCTTCTTTTTATCCAAAAAACATTTCAAATTTTTACACCGTACATTTCTCGTGTATTATAACTCGCGGAAAGTGTGACACAGGCCAACCACACTTTCTGCGATGGATCGGTCTAGAGAAGATGTCCTTCGTTGTCGACGAGAAAGGGAAAGAGAACGTAGTACCATTGAGACTTCTGAGCAAAGAGAGGCTCCTGACTTTCTCGACGGCGACTGCGTGATACGGAACAGGCAAGGCAACGCCTGGCCACGGAAACAGGGGAAGAAAGGGAACCACGACTAGTGAGAAGTCGTGTACAAGCAAGAGCTAGACGTGCTGCGGAATCAGAGGAAACGCAACAGGCAAGGCTCCAACAGATCCGAAGCTATCAGACAAGGTGAAATTCCGTCGAGTCCAGCGAGGGGAGAGAGGCTCGCCCAGCGCTACTATGCAGGAATCAACAGCAGAGAATTGCTGCCGAATCCAAGCATGCCATAAACAACTTTTTTACGCATCTACACAATCGTTAGATCGCTCCCGCTCGCCAAAAATGCAGTGCATTCACCTACTAGTAGTAAGTAGGTCCTTTTGTAAGCATCACTTACTACAAGAGCCATAACAAACTGGGGTAAACAGTTGGCTAATTCTTGTGCACACACATCCCACACTTCAGGCGATATAGTCCAACTAAAGGTATAAGCTTACAGTGCAAAAATACCTCTGTAATACACTTACAAACTTCAAAGCATGCTAGTACATACAAAACAAAAAGGTGTAAATGACTCGTCCCCACCTGCAATTTAATAGGTGTGTGGTGAAGTTTGTGCTGATGCAGTGTCTTTCGGTCCATTTCCCAAGCAAGTTCAGTTTGAAGGTTTAACTGCAATGCTGTTAAAGGGACTGCATCTGTCGACAGCGTATATCCATCAATAACACCGTCAATAACCAGTGATGCGTCTGAGCAACATAAAAATTTGCGACCTGCAAAAGAAACGCTGTGAAAGCAAAACATTACAGCAATCGCAGGGCATGGGAGGCAAAACGCTGCACATCCTACGTGCCACTCTAGTCCTACAAAATGGCATAAGAAGTGTTACCTTCAAAAACTGTCACAACTACCAACACCTTTTCAGTAGACATTCAATTGCGTCTAGAGAGACACGTGCGCCAACACACACGGCCGTGATACGCGCGTGCACGCCCGGCCACGGCGGCGCGGCGCGGCGCGGTGCGGCGCGGCCGTGTTGGCGTGGCGCGGTTATTATCGAGTTGAGTGCACGGCTGCACTCCTTCTCGTCGAGACACTCAGCGGTTGCGCGGATCGCGGCCGCGTCCAGCCCTTCAACAAACCGTCTTCAATAATACTGTAACCACCACCCCATAGAGCACAGAACTTCAAAACAGCGTTTCGAAACTCCTAATAACGCACAACACGGGGTATAAAATATCCTAGGCAATTTTTATACGGGGGGATGAAATGTACCGCTACACCGAGCAGCTTGAGCGAGCCGCCAATGGGCGAGCATCTACGTCGTCTTTCCTGGCACGCAACCCCCTCAACATCCGTTGTGGCTTGCTCAATCATATTTGCTACCCTAAGCAAGAATCACCTGTTGCTGCTGATGACAACAACGTACGAGGTTGCAAAGGCAAACAACACAACCATCTACACCAAAGAAAAAAGATCTGCCCTGGGTGGGATTTGACCCAACGGCACTCTCCACCCACTGAGCTGCCAGGGCAACTCAGCAGGCAGGCCTCGAATCTACAACTGAATACAATGCAACGCAAGGCAAAGGCAAGCCTCGAAAACTCTGTGCTATGGCACAGAAACCTGTCACTCAGGATGCGCAGAAGACACATGCACAAATGCAGAAGAAATGCGCATGCGCAAATATTCCAAAAACGTAGAATGCGCAAAAAAGATAATGCGCTGGAATTACGGCGCGAAGATGACATCCACTGGATCACTCCGCCGCAGCAACGCTACTCTTCCTCTTCTTCTTTGTAACCTCCACTGAAGGAGAGTAGCCTATTGGGTGGGTGATGAGGATACTAGAGCTGACAGGTGGAAGGTGGGCTGTATAAATGTGATGGATGAGGACTAACCACTATCTGTAGCTGGGGGTTGTCAACCCACTCCGTACCGAGGACGTAGTCAGCGAATAGTTTAGAGTGAGAAGGACGAGACTGCAGAGAGAATGAGAGGGCAGGACACTGGGCAATAGCGCTCTCAGGACTGGAGTCACAAAGTCTGCACATGCTGTCCGACGTAGCGTTACGGAACCTGGATGTCTCCGATTACAGACAGGTGCAGTTCAGTAGAAGTCAGATTCGGATGTTGTTGAACCTCGAGAGTCTTGGAAATCCGCGGCAGACAGAGAGGTGGGGGAGCACTTTGACAAGTGAGAGCAGTTGGCCACAAATTCGAAAAAGTCTTTGGCTAGTAGCAGCCTCCTGGCCAGTCGCTTCCATCCACCGCTGGTCCACTGGCCTGAGATGACATGGTTGATAGGGGGGAGGTCGTACTCAGTGAGTAAGGACTGGAGTCTAGGAATGATGCCACTAGAAGGAGGATGACTAAGTAGGGAGAGGAGCAATTGACGAGGAAGAGACTAGAAGGAATGGAGGAAGTTGAGCTTACGTTCATGTGGCATGCCGAGAGTGCCCCGTGTATGGAGAAGAGCCTTGCGTATAAGGAGGCCAGTTATGGTTCTAAAGCTTTTGCGATTCACATGCTCTGCTCTCTCCCGCCGGGATTGCCCTGGCGTGATATGTCTGGAGCAAAGACCACAAATTTACAGACCTCCAAGCACAATAGGGTACAAATAACGTCATGGGGGGTGGCCTGGCACCTTTTGTAGGCGCGCATGCGCATAAAAAGCTGTACTTGCATGGGCGCGTACTCCAGACTATCCCCATCTACACATTGTGAGGCGCCAGCGTGCCTGGCAAAGCTTCATGTGAGACTCCCCATGTATATGTAAACGTAGAAGTGTATATGAGCTGGATAAACATAAAATAATAAATTGCGTGGAAGAGTGAATAAAAACGTTGCAAAATACGTGCAATAGAGCAGATAAAAATAACTGTGCCTGTGTAATTGGGGCCAACCCCAATTTACAATTAACGCCTACCCACAATTGCAATTGGTTCCCACGTAATAAACGCAGAAGAACATGTCAATTTTTAATATGAACCTAGGCTTAAAAACTCTGTGTAAAATAAAATAAGAACGTCGGTATATGAACATATGCTAGAAGATAAACAGAAAATAACCGTATGAAAACGCAGAAGAACGTGTGAACATGAAATATGAACGCAGAATCAGTGTATATGAGCTTGATAAACGTAGAACGTGAAAAAGCCAATAAGAACGTAGAGATGCTTATACTTTTCCAATTGGCACAAACCAACACTAATTGACGCCCAACCCTCAATTCCAATTTGTACTCACCTACCATTCCAAATAAACGTGTGAAGATGTAGATAAACGTATAATTATAATAATACACTGCTACGTTCACATTTCATATTCACACGTTCTACTTCATTGGCACCGTTATTTTTCGTTTATCTGCTCTTTTCCACGTCATTATCACGCATTTTCACTCGAATGGTAGGCCTGCACCAATTGGAATTGTGGTTTGTGGTTAATTGGAAATGTGGGTGGGCACAAATTGGAATTATTCCAGAGCATAGAGCACGTATTTTCACTTGTCTACGTTCTTACTTCCTTTTGAACACATTTTTTTAACGTTCTAGGTTCATTTTTCTTTTTTACACGTTCTTCTCCGTTTTCAAAGGTATACAGCCATTGGCACCGTTATATCACGTAGTTAGCAAGTATTTTCACTTATCTACCTGAGTATTGACCGTTCTACGAGCTGGATAAACGTACAACGGTTAAAGGCACGTACATTAGTGAAAACGTGGAAATAACCGATGCCAATGCTTGTACAATTCCAATTGGCGACAACCAAAATTGGCTCCCACAATTCCAATTGGTACCCACCTAACGTGTGAAAAACGTAGAAGAGCCTGTCAATACGTGGTATAAACGTACAACAGTTTGCAAAAGCCAATAAGCGTGTATGTGGAAAAGAGTGGATAAATGTAGAAGTGCACATGAGCTGGATAAACGAAAAATGTGTGCAAAAGCCAATAAGAACATGCTACGTGGAATAGAGGAGAAAAACCGGTGAAAATGAAATTCCAATTGACGCCCATCCACGGTGTAAATAAGGTTCAACGGTTAAAAGTGTGTGCAAAAGCGAATAAGCACGTAGATATGTGAAAAAACGTGCTAATGCTCTGAAACTATGTGGAGCAGAGCAGATAAATGCTATATGAGCATTTGAAAACGGGGAAGAAAGTCTGAATGTGAACGTAAACGTAGAATGGTTAAAGAATGTGTGCATACGAGAAATAACAGTGAATAAGCACAAAATAACAGCCTTGCTTGCTTACGTTCATATTCCATATTGTACGTTTTCACACGTTTATTAGGTTGGCACCAATTGGAATTGTGGGTTACCACCAATTGGAATTGCAAAATAACAGCTTATACAATTCCAATTGGCGCTAACCCTCAATTCCTATTGGTGTCAACCTAATAAACGTGTGAAAACGTACAATATGGAATATGAACGTAAGCACTTACACTAGTGAAAGGGTGGGACAGAGCTGATAAAAACGAACATGTCAAAATGCTGTATAACTGGATAAACGAAGAATGTGTGCAAAAGCCAATGAGAACGAAAATCTTGAAAAACGAACAATGGCTGTGCTATTGGTTTTCCAACTCCAATCCAAATAAACGTATGAATAGGCAGAATATGAACGTTAAAGCAGTATGTAGAACTGTTAAAAAAAGTGTACAAAGTAGATATATGAAATCCAAATTGGAGCCAAACAACATTTCCAATCACATGTGCTCACCTAATAAACATGTGTAGAGCCTGTCAATATGAAATATGAACGGAGTCATCAGCAACGGACCGAGGGACTCCAGGTTAGACCGTACCAGGGGTCGATCACAAGAAATGCATACCTGTATGAACAGAGGTCCTGGAGTCGAGGCTGTGAGAAATAGCGTGACGTAACTAGGACTAATCGCCGGGAACTCGCTACCGTTGTCTCGAGGGAGGTGGACGTGGCCATGGTTTACAACTATCGGGAAGAAAACACGGCTATGACAGGCGGTAGACCAGAGACCTGCGAGCGTTGCTAGGTTGATCCCAATTACAATCATCGTGTCTTCGCTATCGCGCGCCCTGCGGGCGCAGTGTGCTGCACATTCGAGTAATACCGCGCACGTTATTCGCTAAATGTCATTTCGCGTCAACGAACATTTCCAATTAACGCCCACCTTCAATTCCAATTGTTGCCCACCTTCAATGTGTGAAAACACAGAAGAATGTGTGTATGAACGTAAAAGCTGGGAATATGAGCTGATCTTGTACATAAGTGAAAACAAATGACGAGGAACAAAGCGGATATACGCTTATTAACGTGTCAAAATGCTGTGCCTTCGCTATCGCGCGCTCAGCGGGCGCAGTTAGCTGCGCATGCGCCCTGGCCCTCAGCGCAACCGCGCCCGGGCTGAACGAAATTCGCTTAGTCACAGGAAAGCGCCCGTCGCGATAGCCAGCTAGGCTCACGCAAACATTTCCAATTAACGCCCACCCACAATCGTTGCAACCATACTAGCTAAACATAAAATTTAAGCCCCTAATATATGTTCATTATTTTGGGTGGCAACATTACTGGGTTTACAGTAATTCCTACGAACATTTCCAATTAATGCCCACCAAAATTTCAATTGGTTCCCACCCCCAATTCCAATTGGTGCCGACCTTCATTTGCAATAAATGCCCACCCACAATTATAATAGGTCTCTCATTTCCAATTAATTCCACCCACATTTCCAATCGGTGCCCACCCTCGTTTCCAATTAATGGCCACCTACAATTCCAATTAGTGCCCACCCTAATTTGCAATTATAGCCCACCCACATTTCCAATCGGTGCCCACCCTCTTCTCCAATTAATGGTCACCCACTAGTGCCCACACTAATTTGCAATTATCCCCCACCCACAATTCGAACGAAAAATAACAGTGCCACGTAAAAGCGTGAGTGGTGTGGGACATGTGAAAAATCCTGGATATGAAACTCAAACT